TTGGTACCGCTCCCTCTGCCTCTTTTCACCAATACGAAGTGTGCCCCAGGGTTGTGTTCTGAGCACTACTCTTTTTCTGGTTGCTCTCATTGGTCTTCTTTCCTCTCTTCCTTCAGGTGTCTTCTCTATGTCGATAATCTTACCCTTTGCTGTCAGGGTGATGATTCGCCTCTCCTTCAACGCCAGCTTCAACTTGCGATTGATGCCATGTCGTCTTGGGCCACCGATCATGGCTTCAAGTTCTCTACTACTAAGACTTGTGCCATGACTTTTACTCGGAGACGGGTCGTTCTTTGTCCCTCTTTGTCTCTTTATGGTCATCTCCTTGAGTACAAAGATTCTGCGAAGCTTTTGGGGTTATTCTTTGACACTCGCTTGTCTTGGTCTCCCCATCTCTCTTACCTCCGTGTTGAGTGCTCTAAGGCCCTTACCCTCCTTCGGGTCTTGTCCCATACTTCTTGGGAAGCAGATAGGCGCACACTCCTTGCTTTACATTCCTCTCTCGTCCTGTCTAAGCTTGATTATGGTTGTCCTGCTTACTCGTCTGCTTCTCCTTCTACTCTTTGCCATCTTGATGCTTTGCACCATACTGCGTTGCGCCTTAGTTCTGGTGCCTTTCGTTCGACTCCCGTCCTCAGCTTGTATGTTGACACTGGCTTCCTGTCTCTCTAGTACCGCCGTGATCGCTACTGTCTTCTCTATCTTGCGCGGTCCTTGCAACATCCTTCCTCTCGCCTCTGTCGTGCTTTAACTTTTACCCCTCCTGCGGTTCCTGTTCCTCTTTACCACCTCCCTCTTTCTGTCCGGTTATCTCGCTTACAGGATTCTCTTTCCGTTCGTATTTCTAATATTTCTCCCCGTGTTGCTCCTTCTTTACCCCAGTGGAGAGTCCCCCTTCCGCAGTTCTGTACATCCTTCACTCGCATCACTAAAGCTTTTACCCCTCCTACGGTTCTAAAACGCCTTTTCCTTGAGCACTTTTCTTCTCACTCCCGCTCCGTTTCTGTCTTCACTGATGGGTCTAAGTCAGCGGACGGTGTTGGCTACTCTGTTGTTTTTCCTGATTGCACTTATATGTGTCGCTTACCTCTGGAGACTAGCATCTTTACAGCAGAGCTTTATGCTATTCTCTATGCTCTTCATCTCCTGCTTTCTTGTTGTCAGTCTTCCTTTGTAGTTGTAGTCGACTCTCGTAGTGCCCTCATGGCTCTCGGGTCCTTTAATCCGGTTCATCCAGTGGTTGTCGAGATCCAGCATTGGCTGTTTCTTGTTCACAGTAAATTTAAGTCGGTTGAGTTTTGTTGGGATCCCAGCCATATTGATGTCACTTTAAATGAGCGTGCAGATGCTACCGCCGAGGAAGCTATCCGCTCTTGACCCATCTCTCATAAAGGTATTCCATAATCAGACTTTTACCCGGTTATCCATTCCTCCATCCTTACCCGTTGGCAGACTTCTTGGTCGTCTGTTACTGGTAACAAACTACGTACTCTTAAATGTTGTGTTTCCTCGTGGCTGTCCTCCTACCACCGTAACCGGCGATGGGAAACGGCTCTGGCGAGGTTGCGTATTGGCCATACTCGCTTAAGAACCGTCAGTCCGTCGAGATCGGGTTCAGTGACGAAAGGAGGATTGACAATAAAAGATTCCCCTCGCTCGAGACGTTGGGTACTACAGTTCTACGGGTGCAAGAGTATGCCTCCTCAAACACCCTGGAGTCAAAACAAAAGAAGGTCGAAAGAATAATCAAAACAGGCAAAAGGTCGGCAGGAAATGACAATTTGATAGTAGAAGAGGGGGAGGGGGGAGAAAAATGAAACACGAGTAAAAGGAAAAGGGGCCTGGCAAAATTGGTAAAGGCAGCAGCAGGAGCATAAGGCTGCAAAAGGACAGAGGACTGAACTACGGAGCATCACACTCCGGCAGCTGCCCACCAAGCCCCTTCACGGTGGCAATGGGCCAAACGGTAAGGGGGAACTAAGGGGAAGCCTTTACCTTCCCATAACTAAGGGAAGCCTTTACCTTCCCATAACCGAGGGGAAGCCTTTACCTTCCCATAACCGAGGGGAAGCCTTTACCTTCCCATAACCGAGGGGAAGCCTTTACCTTCCCATAACCAAGGGGAAGCCTTTACCTTCCCATAACCAAGGGGAAGCCTTTACCTTCCCATAACTAAGGGGAAGCCTTTCCCTTCCATAACCAAGGGGAAGCCTTTACCTTCCCATAACCAAGGGGAAGCCTTTCCCTTCCCATATAACTTCCCAGGAACACCATCCGCCAAACGACGAACAACTTGAAAGAACAAGTTCATTCCTTTCTCACACTCTTCCACACCCTGCTCCCCCCCTCTCCCCCCCCCCTCTCTCTCTCTCTCTCTCTCTCTCTCTCTCTCTCTCTCTCTCTCTCTCTCTCTCTCTCTCTCTCGGAATTCCAGCATATATTACAATAAGTAATGAGGCCTGATCTACGCTCAGAACATCCTTTAGTACGTTTATAGTCCCAAGCGGGCTCGTAGCCCTTAATATGCTTGTAGCCTTTAGTATGTAAACCCCTAGTATGTCTGTAAACCCCTAGTATGTCTGTAAACCCCCTAGTATGTCTAAACCCCTAGTATGTCTGTAAACCCCCTAGTATGTCTGTAAACCCCCTAGTATGTCTGTAAACCCCTAGTATGTCTGTAAACCCCCTAGTATGTCTGTAAACCCCCTAGTATGTCTGTAAACCCCTAGTATGTCTGTAAACCCCTAGTATGTCTGCAAACCCCCTAGTATGTCTGCAAACCCCCTAGTATGTCTGTAAACCCCCTAGTATGTCTGTAAACCCCTAGTATGTCTGTAAACCCCCTAGTATGTCTGTAAACCCCCTAGTATGTCTGTAAACCCCCTAGTATGTCTGTAAACCCCCTAGTATGTCTGTAAACCCCTAGTATGTCTGTATACCCCTAGTATGTCTGTATACCCCTAGTATGTCTGTAAACCCCTAGTATGTCTGTAAACCCCCTAGTATGTCTGTAAACCCCCTAGTATGTCAGTAAACCCCCTAGTATGTCTGTAAACCCCCTAATATGTATGTAAACCCCTAGTATGTCTATAAACCCCTAGTATGTCTGTAAACCCCTAGTATGTCTGTAAACCCCCTAGTATGTCAGTAAACCCCCTAGTATGTCTGTAAACCCCCTAATATGTATGTAAACCCCTAGTATGTCTATAAACCCCTAGTATGTCTGTAAACCCCTGGTATGTCTGTAAACCCCCTAGTTTGTCTGCAAACCCCTAGCATATCTGTAAACCCCCTACTATGTCTGTAAACCCCCTAGTATTACTGTAAACCCCTTAGTATGACTGTAAACCCCTTAGTATGACTGTGACCCCCATAGCATGTCTGTAAACCCCCTAGTATGACTGTAAACCCCCTAGTACATCTGTAAACCCCCTAGTATGCCTGTTAACCCTCTAGTATGCCTGTAAACCCCCTACTATGTAAACCCCCTAGTACGACTAAACCCCCTCATAAGCCTGTAAACCTCCTAGTATGTCTGTAAACCCCCTAGTATGTCTGTAAACCTTCTAGTATGCCTGTAAACCCCCTAGTATGTCTGTAAACCCCCTAGCATGCCTGTAAACCCCCTAGTATGTATGTAAATCCCCTAGTATGTCTGTAAACCCCCTAGTATGTCTGTAAACCCCCTAGTATGTCTTTAAACCCCCTAGTATGTCTGTAAACCCCCTAGTATGTCTGTAAACCCCTAGTATGCCTGTAAACCCCCTAGTATGTCTGTAAACCCCTAGTATGTCTGTAAACCCCCTAGTATGTCTGTAAACCCCCTAGTATGTCTGTAAACCCCTAGTATGCCTGTAAACCCCCTAGTATGTCTGTAGACCCCTAGTATGTCTGTAAACCCCCTAGTATGTCTTTAAACCCCCTAGTATGTCTGAAAACCCCCTAGTATGTCTGTAAACCCCCTAGTATGTCTTTAAACCCCCTAGTATGTCTGTAAACCCCTAGTATGCCTGTAAACCCCCTAGTATGTCTGTAAACCCCTAGTATGTCTTTAAACCCCCTAGTATGTCTGTAAACCCCCTAGTATGCCTGTAAACCCCCTAGTATGTCTTTAAACCCCCTAGTATGTCTGAAAACCCCCTAGTATGTCTGAAAACCCCCTAGTATGTCTGTAAACCCCCTAGTATGCCTGTAAACCCCCTAGTATGTCTGTAAACCCCCTAGTATGTCTGTAAACCCCCTAGTATGTCTTTAAACCCCCTAGTATGTCTGTAAACCCCCTAGTATGCCTGTAAACCCCCTAGTATGTCTGTAAACCCCCTAGTATGTCTTTAAACCCCCTAGTATGTATTTAAACCCCCTAGTATGTCTGTAAACCCCCTAGTATGTCTGTAAACCCCCTAGTATGCCTGTAAACCCCCTAGTATGTCTGTAAACCCCCTAGTATGTCTGTAAACCCCCTAGTATGCCTGTAACCCCCCTAGTATGTCTTTAAACCCCCTAGTATGTCTGTAAACCCCCTAGTATGTCTGTAAACCCCCTAGTATGTCTGTAAACCCCCTAGTATGTCTGTAACCCCCCTAGTATGCCTGTAAACCTCCTAGTATGTCTGTAAACCCCCAGTATGTCTGTAGCCTGTAGTCAGGTGTAGACCCCTTATAGTTGTGGGCCGCAAGTATGAAGTGCGACTCACCAGATTTCATGCGGACAGACAGACAAACATTCCATGAAAAGTAGAAATGAAAAGATGAATGCTGGGAGATTATTTAGCATTAGTTTATAAATGTTTGTGTATATGAGTTAAATGAGTGAGGGAGCGTGTTTGGAGGGAGGGAGTGAGAGCGAGAGAGAGAGGAGAGAGAGGGGGAGAGGGAGAGAGGAGAGAGAGAGGAAGGTTGAGGGTGCGACACAGTCTGAGCATCACAGCATCCGTGGCTCCCCTCTCTCCCTCTCTCTCTCTCCCTCTCCCAGGCCACCTCAGTCACCCTCCAACACCCGAGGGGAGAGGACGGCTTCTCACTGTCCCGACACTACCGTACATTTCTCCCTGCAGATGACGGAGTTCCCTACATCACCAGCCAGACTGTCCCACCAACTCCAGGAAGTGACTACACGTTACCTATAATCTATGCAACATCAGAGCAAGTGTGCGTGTTGTGCTGTACAGAAATCTATGATTTTAATCCATGGAAATATTATCTGAGTATTCTAAAGGGAAGGAGAAGTCTTGAGAGCTCCTTAAACCTTCAAAATGATTTGTTATTCGCGATTTATAAGATAAGATGAAACATGTGTTGGGTTTGTGAGAGTTGGTATGTCGTGTTGAGGCGTCGCCTGCCAGCCTGACCATGTCAACACACTCGCCTCCGTCTTACCCATAAGCAGATGTGACACAGTGTGGAAAATGTGACGGATAGACGGAGAGAAGTGTGATAGACAGCAGTGACTGAGAGGGCTGTTGGCTCTCCCGCCTCCCGTCAACGCCCCCGACACTACCCGTCCGTAGACGGCCGGAGCTCAGCCCCCACACTCAACATGGGACAGAGAGCCAGATATTTCCAGCAGGTAAGTGGAGTTTGGCCAACAGCAGGAGAGAGGAGCCGGCTTTACCACCGTCCGGCTCCTCTGTCTAGTACACATGACGTAACACTGTCAACATCTGTCAATGTTAACACATTCATACACATCCTCCACACATATTTATATACAAAAGTAGGCTTATATTGCCTCATATAAACTGTGTGATGTGTCTCAGACAAATGTTTATATATACAAGGACGTGAGGCTACAAGCCTTTTGGAAAACAAGTGTTTTGATTGACTGCGTCTGTTGGAAGAACACAACACTGTTGGAAGAACACAACACTGTTGGAAGAACACAACACTGTTGGAAGAACACAACACTGTTGGAAGAACACAACACTGTTGGAAGAACACAACACGGTTGGAAGAACACAACACTGTAGGAAGAACACAACACTGTAGGAAGAACACAACACTGTTGGAAGAACACAACACTGTTGGAAGAACACAACACTGTTGGAAGAACACAACACTGTTGGAAGAACACAACACTGTTGGAAGAACACAACACTGTAGGAAGAACACAGCACTGTAGGAAGAACACAGCACTGTTGGAAGAACACAGCACAGTTGGAAGAACACAGCACAGTTGGAAGAACACAACACTGTTGGAAGAACACAACACTGTTGGAAGAACACAACACTGTAGGAAGAACACAACACTGTAGGAAGAACACAACACTGTTGGAAGAACACAACACTGTTGGAAGAACACAACACTGTTGGAAGAACACAACACTGTAGGAAGAACACAACACTGTTGGAAGAACACAACACTGTTGGAAGAACACAACACTGTTGGAAGAACACAACACTGTTGGAAGAACACAACACTGTTGGAAGAACACAACACTGTTGGAAGAACACAACACTGTTGGAAGAACACAACACTGTTGGAAGAACAACACTTTTGGAAGAACACAACACTGTTGGAAGAACACAACACTGTAGGAAGAACACAACACTGTAGGAAGAACACAACACTGTAGGAAGAACACAACACTGTTGGAAGAACACAACACTGTAGGAAGAACACAACACTGTAGGAAGAACACAACACTGTAGGAAGAACACAACACTGTAGGAAGAACACAACACTGTAGGAAGAACACAACACTGTAGGAAGAACACAACACTGTTGGAAGAACACAACACTGTAGGAAGAACACAACACTGTAGGAAGAACACAACACTGTAGAAAGAACACAACACTGTAGAAAGAACACAACACACTAGGAAGAACACAACACTGTAGGAAGAACACAACACTGTTGGAAGAACACAACACTGTAGGAAGAACACAACACTGTAGGAAGAACACAACTCTGTTGGAAGAACACAACACTGTTGGAAGAACACAACACTGTTGGAAGAACACAACACTGTTGGAAGAACACAACACTGTTGGAAGAACACAACACTGTTGGAAGAACACAACACTGTTGGAAGAACACAACACTGTTGGAAGAACACAACACTTTTGGAAGAACACAACACTGTTGGAAGAACACAACACTGTAGGAAGAACAACACTGAAGGAAGAACACAACACTGTAGAAAGAACACAACACACTAGGAAGAACACAACACTGTAGGAAGAACACAACAATGTTGGAAGAACACAACACTGTTGGAAGAACACAACACTGTTGGAAGAACACAACACTGTTGGAAGAACACAACACTGTTGGAAGAACACAACACTGTTGGAAGAACACAACACTGTTGGAAGAACACAACACTGTTGGAAGAACACAACACTGTTGGAAGAACACAACACTGTTGGAAGAACACAACACTGTTGGAAGAACACAACACTGTTGGAAGAACACAACACTGTTGGAAGAACACAACACTGTTGGAAGAACACAACACTGTTGGAAGAACACAACACTGTTGGAAGAACACAACACTGTAGGAAGAACACAACACTGTAGGAAGAACACAACACTGTTGGAAGAACACAACACTGATCACTTCAGCCTGTCGCTACTTTCTTAAGTGTCATTAAGAAAGAGAACACCGGAAAACTAAATAGTTCATCACCCCCCCCCCTACTGCCTCGTCCACCACACTGCGACACTCAACCCCCCCCCCCCCCACACACACCTCACCCCCCCACACACCCATCACCAACACCCCCACACTCCTCACCAACACCCCCACACCCCTCACCAACACCCCCCACACTCCTCACCCACACCCCCACACCCCTCACCAACCCCCCCCACACTCCTCACCAACACCCCCCACCCCTCACCAACACCCCTTCACCAATACCCTCCACACCCCTCACCATCACCCCCCCCCACCAAACACCCCCCACACCCCTCACCAACACCCCCCACACCCCTCACCAACACCCCCCCACACCCCTCACCAACACCCCCCCCACACCCCTCACCAACACCCCCCCACACCCCTCACCAACACCCCCCACACCAACACCCCCACACCCCTCACCAACACCCCCCACACTCCTCACCAACACCCCCACACCCCTCACCAACACCCCCACACCCCTCACCAACACCCCCCACACCCCTCACCAACACCCCCCACACTCCTCACCAACACCCCCCCCCACCCCTCACCAACACCCCCCACACTCCTCACCAACACCCCCACACCCCTCACCAACACCCCCACACCCCTCAACAACACCCCCACACCCCTCACCAACACCCCCCACACCAACACCCCCCACACCCCTCACCAACACCCCCCACATCCCTCACCAACACCCCCACACCCCTCACCCAACACCACCTCACCAACAACCCCCACACCCCTCACCAACACCCCCCCACCCCTCACCAACCCTCCACACCCCTCCCAACACCCCCCCACACCCCTCACCAACACCCCCACACCCTCACCAACCCCCCCACACCCCTCACCAAACACCCCCCCACCAACACCCCCCCCACACCCTCACCAACACCCCCACACCCCTCACCAACACCCCCCACACCCCTCACCAACACCCCCACACCCCTCACCAACACCCCCCACACCCCTCACCAACACCCCCCACACCCCTCACCAACACCCCCACACCCCTCACCAACACCCCTCACACCCCTCACCAACACACCCCACACCCCTCACCAACACCCCCACACTCCTCACCAACACCCCCCACAACCCTCACCAACACCCCCACACCCCTCACCAACACCCCCACACTCCTCACCAACACCCCCACACTCCTCACCAACACCCCCCACACCCCTCACCAACACCCCCCACACCCCTCACCAACACCCCCACACTCCCCTCACCAACACCCCCACACTCCTCACCAACACCCCCCCACACCCCTCACCAACACCCCCACACCCCTCACCAACACCCCCACACTCCTCACCAACACCCCCCACACCCCTCACCAACACCCCCCACACCCCTCACCAACACCCCCACACCCCTCACCAACACCCCCACACTCCTCACCAACACCCCCACACTCCCTCACCACCCCACCCCCTCACCAACACCCCTCACCAACACCCCTCACCTCCTCACCAACACCCCCCACACCCCTCACCAACACCCCCCACACCCCTCACCAACTCCCCCACACCCCTCACAACACCCCCACACCCCTCACCAACCCCCCCCACACCCCTCACCAACACCCCCCACACTCCTCACCAACACCCCCACACTCCTCACCAACACCCCCCACACTCCTCACCAACACCCCCCACACTCCTCACCAACACCCCCCACACCCCACCACACCCCCACACCCCCACACCAACACCCCCCCACTCCCCTCACCAACACCCCCCACACCCCTCACCAACATCCCCACACCCCTCACCAACACCCCCCCCCCTACACCAACACCCCCCCCATTCCTCACCAACACCCCCACACCCCTCACCAACACCCCCACACTCCTCACCAACACCCCCCACACCCCTCACCAACACCCCCACACCCCTCACCAACACCCCCCACACTCCTCACCAACACCCCCCACACTCCTCACCAACACCCCCCACACTCCTCACCAACACCCCCCACACTCCTCACCAACACCCCCACACTCCTCACCAACACCCCCCACACCCCTCACCAACACCCCCCACACCCCTCACCAACACCCCCACACCCCTCAACAACACCCCCACACCCCTCACCAACACCCCTACACACTCCTCACCAACACCCCCCACACTCCTCACCAACACCCCCCACACTCCTCACCAACACCCCCACACTCCTCACCAACACCCCCACACCCCTCACCAACACCCCCACACTCCTCACCAACACCCCCCACACTCCTCACCAACACCCCCCACACTCCTCACCAACACCCCCACACTCCTCACCAACACCCCCACACCCTCACCAACACCCCCACACTCCTCACCAACACCCCCACACTCCTCACCAACACCCCCCACACCCCTCACCAACACCCCCCACACTCCTCACCAACACCCCCAGACCCCTCACCAACACCCCCAGACCCCTCACCAACACCCCCACACTCCTCACCAACACCCCCACACCCCTCACCAACACCCCCACACTCCTCACCAACACCCCCACACTCCTCACCAACACCCCCACACTCCTCACCAACACCCCCACACCCCTCACCAACACCCCCACACCCCTCACCAACACCCCCCACACCCACCCACCCCCCCCCCACACTCCTCACCACCCCCCCCCCCCCCACACTCCTCACCAACACCCCCACACCCCTCACCAACACCCCCACACCCTCACCAACACCACCCACACTCCTCACCAACACCCCCACACTCCTCACCAACACCCCCACACCCCTCACCAACACCCCCACACTCCTCACCACACCCCCACACTCCTCACCCCACACCCCCCCACCCCTCACCAACACCCCCACACTCCTCACCAACACCCCCACACTCCTCACCAACACCCCCCACACTCCTCACCAACACCCCCACACCCCTCACCAACACCCCCACACCCCCT